TTGTCCATATTGCAGATGTACAGAACAGGAGATTGGTGAGATACAGACTTCTGGGAAACTGAGTCCTCCACGTATCACAGCAGGATTCAAAGGGGTGAGGAAATAGGTCTATATCTGTCCGTCAGCGTCTGGTATTCATCTGTCAGCTCCTCTCGGCCATTCCCTCATTCCAGCATAGAGTGTGAGTGAGTGTACACATGTATGGATTTATGTGTTCTTGTTTAGGTAGTGAATTAATCTGCACATGCGTGTCTATGTGTGCGTGTTTGTGTGTGTGTTTGTGCATTTGTGTGTGTGTGTGCATGCTTAGGTGTTTAAGTTGCTGTTGATCTTGATTGTCAGTGCTGGAGAATTAAAGCTTTACTGTCCAAAGCTGGCAGCTAAATTCTCACCCTTCATTTCACAGTCTCTCACAAAGAAGTCTCCTTACCAAAAAAGAAAAGAAAATGTTTGCAAATCTGTAAAAGCTTGGATTGAATGCACCTGAAAGAAAAACAGAGGGAGAGAGAAAGAGATGAAGAGAGATAAAGTAACACAAAAAGCATACTATTTTGAATTCAGTTGAATGAGCTAAACCTTGACACTATTGAAACAAGTAATTGTAAACCTACTTTACTGTAAGTAAAGCCGTGTTTCCATTGTTTGACTTGGCGCTAAAAGTGTGCTGTTGTTGTACTCAATTTTTATTGATTTACATATTTGTACTTGAACATGTTTTGAGATACAAACTACCAAAAAACCCAAATTGCTTCAATTAAATGAGCAACAATTTGCCAACATGGATCTAGATAGTACCTAGGAAGTCTTGCAAAAACAATTAATTAATTGTTATTCAATTGTTATTTCGTGAAACTGACACGAAAACTACTAATACTGCTTCTTCATTTAATTAAATACCAATTAATAAACAGCTTTACAATTTTGTGTATCTATTGATGGATTCATTCTTTCATTTCTGATGTCTTTTTTTCCTTATTGTCTAATTAAATAACAATTAAAAAGTCACATTCAAAACAAAAATATGGTCATCCTCAGTAATCAGACTCTCCTCTGGAAATGTCTTTTAAGTTCCAGTGGTTTGTTTAGCTTAGTTGTTGGACGGCCTTTCTTTTTGTATGAAGCTTTAATGAACTCACCTGCTGTTACAGGCTGGTGACGCTGAAGCTGTCATCATTGGCTGGGTCCAGGAGCTGGCACAACACCCCACCTCCCTGAGTCGCCTGGGAGGGGTAGCGGTGTCCCATGCCCTGGTAGGATTGATGGGACAAGGTGAAGCCACTAGTGTCCTCCTGATGGGGCGAGGAGTCCAGGGGAGGTTTGGGGTACGGGGAGAGTGGCAAGGGGGCCTGGCGATGGCCTGTGCTCATAGCATGGGGGGTCATATCCCGCTTGTGGGGGGGCCCGGTCGAGGAAGGGCTGCACTCCTCATACAGCACAGGCGTTGAGTGGGAGTGGAGGTGAGAGTTAGGGTTGGTGTGTGTGTTGTGGTGAGGCTGATTGTTGGTGTGAGGGTTTGAGTGGGAGAGGGGGTTGCTCTGGAGGTGTGAGGTGGGATGGGTGTTGGTGTGTGAGCTCAGGTTTGCGTGGGGCTGGGTATTGTGATGGTGTGTGTCATGGGGAGTCGGGTTCATATGTGTGTGTGTGTTCGCATTTGGGCTAGTGAGCGGATTACCATGTGTATTTCCATGAGGACTTGTGTGTGGGTTGCTGTGTGTGTGCACGGCTGTATTTGAGTGTGTGCTGTGTGAGTGCGGGCTGGGGCTGCTGCTGTGCGATGTCTGTCCGTACCAGTAGGGGGAGCTGCAGTAGCTGGGAGAGTCATACTGCGAGAACTGTGGGTCTTTTGGTGGGGGCCGGTGTGAGGGACTCAGTGCAGTGCCGCAGTGGGGTGTTACCCGGGGTGAGGGAGAGCAGGAGGGGGAGAAGGTCCTGGAGGGGACAGGGTGGTAAGACTGTGGAGGAGGAGGGGTGGGCTTGGGAGGGTAAGGGGGAGATGAGACACTGGGTGAGAGGGAAGAGGAGGACTCACCAGGGTATAAGGCTGGATATCGCTCCTCGGAGGAAGGAGTGGAGGGGTGGGCAGAATAAGGGGAAGGGTACTCACAGGGGTCCTGGAGGTAGCTGGAAGGTGGTGCAGGATTGGGAGTGGCCAGGGGAGAGAGGCTACTACTGTCTCCACTGTAATAGTCCAGTCCCTCCTGGAACAGCCCAGAGCCCTCTGGACCTCCAACAGTCACTGGTCCTCCAGCTCCAGATGTAGAGGCAGCCTTGCCCCTGCCTTTGGCGCCTGATGGCCGCTCTCTCTGACATGGAGACAAACCCCCTCTGCCTCCTCTAGACCCTCTGCCTCGTCCTCCAACCCCTCCCCGCTTAGGTCCAGGAGTGGGCGTCGGGGAGGGACTGGATGGAGAATCAGAGTGTAAAGCAGAACCTCCTTCCTTTTCTAATTGTGGTTCAGTCCGTTTCCTCCGACCGCGGCCAGGTTTGCTGGTTCCCCCACCCTGGAAGAGGACATTTTGGCTCCAGTTATACGAGGGCCCTGAAGCACTCTCATGCCAATCCATCATCAACTTCTCCAGGCTGGACAGACTTGACTGACCCCCCTCTCCACTCACAGAAGCAGCCTCATTCTGTTTGTACGTGCCACCTGTGGAGCTGGGTCCACTAACAGTGGCTACAGAGCCAAGATGTGAAGAGTCAGAGGAGGATTCTGAAAGGCTTTCAGGAAAAGGTTGTCGCTTGGCCTTCTGGGGGGTGTAGTTGGAGATATCCAAGATGTCTTTGGACTCATTGGAGCCATATTCACTGTAGCCGTGATACTGATGCCCAAAGCTGTCTGTTGCCCAGCCACCAAAACCTTGCCTGGAAAAAGAAAAA